GTATATAACCGTCACGTAACCCCCGAAACGGGAATAACTGAGTAGGTAAGTGGGCGAAGTGACTGAGAAATGTTTGCGCTCAATGATACTGGAAGAGAGGCCTACCGTTTCGCAAAAACCAAGGCGACCAAAACAAAACGGTCCATTTCAGGAGACCGAATATTGTGTTTGTTGTCTCAATGAACATATTTGGAAGAACTTCCAACTGATTTGGCTCATATAAAGTTGGCTACAAAACGCGATCATGAACCTCTGTCGAAAAAAAACGAATCCCTTTACCTGTCCCGTGGGAGCATCAGGTGTTCGATACAGTTTGGGCCCCGATACAGAAAACCACCAAGTTTGGAACGCGGTCGGCATCTTGTGAACCGGTTTGTTCAGATAAAAAGAAACATGGTGAGTTGCGCATTTCATCATCTTTATTATCGTATGGCGAAATACAGTGAAGCGAAACTCAATAGTCTATGAGAAATTTGTAATGCATACGAATTCAGTGGTAATATGTAAGATGGACAGGGATTGGACGCATTTTGAGGGCGGGAGGGGGAGAAGGTGAATCTCTATGGTCAACACAGAGTGCACAATCTAACTGTGTATACATACCTTTTCAAGTATTCTGGACTGATAAGAAATGACAAGAAAGCCACTGCTGTCGGTTCGTTGTCATATCCTTCAATGTCTCGAATTAATCAGTTACGGAGTCTTTCGGACACCAACCTGGAAGGCGAGAGACAGGTAATAGCTCTCCACGTCAACTACTAACCCGTAGATGGCTTCCTCCAGCCCGGAGCGGCTACAGTGAATAAAGCGAGGTGCGGCAGACGACAGCTTGGCATACGCAATACATGCCCTGACCAGCGAAGCCTACTAATCTGAATTAGATGAGCTAGCCATTTATCCTCGATATACTCCCAAACACACTACGGCTTACTTTGAGATTACTTATCTCTTCGTTCCAATCCCACGTGGGCCAAACCAAGTAAACTATGGGTAAACTACGTAAACACCGATATTAGCAAATTCCAAGTCTTGAGATATCTACTCGCAAATTCTAGGTCTCACAACCATAGAGTAGAACTGAACGAACAATAACACAATATATACGACCTTTCGTGAAACGCCGCGTCTTCAGTTCAGTTTAAGTTTTTATAAACATTTACCATACACTGTGCGCCGATGTTGGTAGCTGCCCTCTGGCAGCCCATTTATTGTTCTGAACTCGCCCCGGTGGTTAACCTTCTCTCGTCTATCCTTTTGTCAAGCGGGCAGTTATCTTTATCAGAATCTGTACCGAAATATGGGCCTTCTACATCCCGGTCTTACCTTCTCTCTAGAACATCAATTTTGTGAAACTCTTTATAATTTCGTATTTCCAGCAACTTACAATCTTACACGTTTGAAAAGCTGGATCAACAAAAGGGATCTCATCTGAAGTTTCCCAATAAACCATCTTCACCGCACTTTAAACTATGGGGTTTAATCCGTTCGGTGTAATCAAGAGGATTTGACTAGCTTGAAGTCGTGTCCATTAGGTATTGTGTTTAGATTCAGATAGATGAGGGTGTGATCGGCACAGGAAGCCCCGTAATCCACAAGAAGGTTTCTGTTGGGTTTTCTCTTATATCTCTATTTCCTTTTCAGCGAAAAATTATTCAGATCTTTTATCCTACTGATGCAGATCTTTTCAAGAGCTTCTAAACCTGGATACCCTGGGGTTAAGTAGAGCTGAATGCAACCAGGCGCGTCCCCGGGTTGTGGATAGAGAGATACTTTCACCGAAGAAGGTTAGCTGTGAATAAGTTGTGGCATATAGCAACAAAAAGGCAATTGTGAACAAACAGCGGCCGCACTACCAGGACGTGGTCAGTTTCAGGGAATTCACCTGGCTCCCGATTAAAAGCCGCTTAAGCCCAATGACGGTCATCAGCATCATCGTACAGCGAAATACAGAGAAACGAACTTCACTGATCGCTGCCAAACTCATAATGCACACCAGATAAGTAAGAATGTGTAAGACGGACGGGAAAAGAAAGCGAACCTCTATAGTCAACACAGAATACAAAACCCAACTGTGCATACATACTATTTCAAGCATTCTTGTCTGATAAGAAATGACAACAAGAAAGCAGGTGCTGTCGGTTCGTCATATCCTTCAATGTCTCCAATTAATCAGTTACGGAGTCTTTTGGACCCCAACCCGGAAGACGAGAGACACCTACACCACCTAATCGTTCTGTGCATTTCTTTATGCCTCGTCTCCAAGTCATTTGCTGGCCTCCACGTGGCTTTCTCCAGCCTGTGAGACAGCCATTGCAAGGCGCGCTGCCGTAGGCGACTGTCGGGCATACACAAAACGTGTCCTAACCAACGCAGCCTACTGAGCTGGATTCGATGAGATAGCGAGTTCTTGTTTGAGGTATTCCCGAACACCCGACGACTTGACTCTAAATTATTAACCCGCTCACTCCATCTTGCCTGGGCCAAACTACGTAAGCATCGATGGTCGAACGCTGCTAAACGACGGGTGTCTTCTTCGCGCAAATTCAAGGTCTCACAACCGGAAAGCAGAACTGATCGTACACTGGCGCAGTATACGCGACTTTTCAACTTCAGTGACACGTCACTTCACCACCAAAGGTGTTCAGGTCCTGCGTACGCTGCTCGAGCCTTGGAAATGCGGGCCGTTATCTCCTTCGATGCGCTGCCGTCGTTGGTCACGCAGCTATCTAATTACGAGAGGCAGTCAACTTCAGCTAATTCCTGACCGTCTAGTTTCAGAACGGAACTCGGTGACACCCAGTCTTATAGCATCACTTTGCACTTTGAAGGTACAAAGCACATGCCGAACGGAGTGACCGANGTGACCGAACTTGCTAATCTGTCAAGTGCTCTTTGTGCATCCTCCATAGATTCGAACAAGCAGACGATGTCGTCAGCGTATTTCAAATCGCACAGCTTTCCTCCAGCTGCCCAGTCAATACCTACCATTTGGAGACCACTAAGTGCTTTCTCCAGTATTTCGTTTATGACGAAATTGAATAGGAATGCCGAAAAAGGGCACCCTTGACGAACACCGCTTCTAGTTACGAACGACTTACTCAGCTCGCCGTAGACCCTTACGCTACCAGAGGTATGTGAGTAGAGTGAACTCAGTATGTTCACATACTGCTGCGGCATTCCTTTGCGAAGGAGCGAACCCATAAGGGATTCACGATCAACTGAGTCAAAGGCTCCTTTTAGGTCAAGGAACACGACAACCGTTGGTTGACGGTGCGTATGGTGTAGCTCGAGGACTTGACGCAGGGTGAAGATTTGGTTGACACAACCGCGACTTGGTCGAAACCTCCTTGTTGTTCGCGAATGTTTGTCTCCCTAAACGGCGTTAGACGTCAAAGTATGATGGAGGCTAGTAAATTGGTGACGATTGGGATCAAACTTATTCTACAGTGGTTTGCGCAGTCATTGCGAGATCCCTTCTTAAAAATGGGAACGATCAGTGATTCAACCCAGGATGATGGAATGCGCTCATGTAACCAGATGTCACGCATCAGATCAGTAATGGCGTCTACAAAGTCATCGCCCCCCATCTTGAAAGGGTGAGGGGAAGCCCGTTCGGTTCTGCTGCTTTTCCTTTCTTCAGAGCTTGGATGCAAGAACGATCTTCTGCTGCAGTAGGGGGTTCAGATGACACCGCCCGAGGAGACTCAACTACATCACAGGAGATAACCTGGTTAGCACCTGGCCAGCTGAAACGTTCGTTGAAGTACTTCGCCCACCGGTCAAGCCATTGTTCTCTATTGTGAGTAGCTTACCCACTTTTGACGCAGAGTGTTTCACTATGGTTCACCGACCTTCCGTATTGCGTATCAGTTGGAACAGCCTTTGACTATTCCCTGATGCAGCTGCTATTTCCATTTCACTAGTTATCGTTGCCCACCAGTTCTCACGGTCTTTCTTGAGTTGACGTTGCAGACGCGACCTAACCCTTCCTGAATCCGGGGTGGTTGGGATTTGCCGCTTTTTCTCCATCAGTGCTACTGACTGATCAGATATCCAATGCCTCAGGCGGGCTACCGCTTACAATCCACAAGCAACCTGGGGCTTCCTCTCGACGGTGGGAGTAGTCTTCGCATTTCATTGGACAGCTACC